AGGCGAGAACGGGGAGGAAATAGTCGCGTTCGGAAAACTGGGCAGCGCCGAGATTACGTTCGCGAAAGAGAGCTCGCGCCGCTCAGCGCCCGAAATTGCGAAAGCTCGCGACCGAATATAAATGTAGGATGACCGTAGTTATGCAAGAATGATCCGATCTACATGGAGCATGTTTCGAGAAAATGAAGATGAACATTTGATACATAATTTAGAAGATATAAATAGCACTTAAAGTACTTCGCAATTATTCAAGAAATCAATCAACTTTTCTAGATGTTCATTGACATGTCCCTTAAAAAAATAGATGAAAAAGACAACTGATTAAAAAGCTAGTAAATAAAATACTAGTACTACACTGAGAGAAAAGACTGGTAACTATTACAAACTGCATTTAGTTACAGAAATTCGTTGAATCCTTAGTAACTAATACTAAATATGATAATAATTATCAAATATTTAATAGATCGAGAGTATGATGTAATTGCATTTACAGTAACATCAATTAAATAATTTAGTAATAGTTACTTAATATTAAATATTTAATATGAAATATATTACAATTATGAACAGATATTTGATAATTGTTATGAAATTGTTATATCCTATGTAATAAAAGATTCAATAGGTACGAGTTCTATTTTGTTACCAGTATAAGTATGTTTTGTTGCAGCACAACGAAAAATTCACTCATTTGCAGCTATTACATCGTTTCAATATCTATTATTATAGATGGTTGGTTGAACCTACTAAAAATTTTGTAACTATTACAAAATCGCTTATTTTGCTCAACTATTTAATAAGTTTTATTTACCAAATATATTCTGGAAGCAAATAAATTTTACTTCTATCAAATAAATAATTTATTTTACAGAGCTAAATTAATTAATAAGTATTGCCATAGCTTTGGCCCGCTATATTTACGTCTACCTTTTAGTAATAGTAACCAAATTTTGATAATATTTACTAAATCCTTCTCTCAGTGTAGAAAATAAAAACCATTCTTTACTTAATTTTAGGCGTCTATAAGGCTTGGGTCTTTCTTGTTTTATGTAGAAAGACATATAAACTAGCCATTGACACCAAAAGAAAAGCTAAAAAATTATAACTCCGTGGGTTCGATCATTCTTGCATAACTGTGGCCAGATATAAACGTGTCTCCGCGCGCGACGTCATTACCGTCAAACTGTCGTCACGGCGCGCTATTAATTTACAATAGTTGTCTCGCAATGCACTTAACATCGTTTGATCGGCTAGGAATTAGATTAACGGCCGCGGCTAGCGACTGCTTAAAGGCGCGTCGATAAAAGCGATCTGAAAGCACGTTACCGTGCATGCCGATCGACACATTAATTTCTGTCGATTAGCTTTTGAGTGGCACGAGAATGCGCGCGGGTCTATGGCCGTGATGTACGAGAGAGTGCGGGATATGAAAACCTCGGTATTAAAACGCTCGGGCTCACCGCGTAAATGCCCGGCGTGCGCTGCGATGTCGTAATTAAATACAATTTACAACGCCGAGGTGTTATATACGTATAACGAATATCTAAAATATCGGAGCGCGCTCGCGTGCACGCGCCACCACATTGCAACCTACTCTATTCATCATTCTCCCCAGTCATCTCTGACCTTCCCATTCCGCGAACGCGTTTGCCGTTTCGCGAGTATTATTTGCGACATCCGCCTTAGATGAGCAAACTTCAACGGGTGGTTTTCACTCGGAGAAATTCGGGAAATTGCCGGAATTCTCGTCGAAGTCGTCTCCCGGGAGATTTCTCCTCTCCCGTGGTTTAGAAAACCTCTTCTTACTATTCAAAATATTTTCTCGAGGCTCATGTGACTCCCTTATTTTCCTCATAATCACGTGTGCGAGCAGAAAACAGATTTTTTTTCATTAGCGAAACTGAATTATCCGATATTGTCCTTCGTTTGGCCAATTATTTACCCTCGCTCTATTGTCGTCCAGTCTGGTTGACACGTCGCGTTTCCACAAGGGAAACAAGTGGAATCCCAACCGCGGACTAGAATGAACGCCCACGCGTTCGCCGTCGTTGCATTCTCACTCCGAACGGGGCGCGCGCGCGCGGCTCACCCTGAGCGCTTTTTCCTGCCGCGTGTAGAACGCAGATACGCGCGATAACACCCGGTGGTAGCGTACAATAACGGGGGCCAGCGGAGGCGGGTAAGGACGCGCGTTTCCAGCGCTTTTCAGACCGTGCTTTCTCTTTCTCTCGGTCTAGTAGGGCACTCCATCACTCGGCGACGTCGCCGGCGAGGCCGCCGCGCGCCACTGCCTCTGTCTAGAGTTTCTCTAGTCGGAGTTAGGACAAAGCATGATGATTCCTCATTGGTCTGCGTCCTGCTCGCCATTTTTAGGGTTGACGTGAGTCAGCAGAGAAGTGAGGGGGAAACTACAGTAAAGAGAGAAAGGAGTTCTAAGACTGAAATGACGAAGCGCGCTGCAGCTTCTTTCTCACTCACTCCGCCACTTCCTCCCTACAAAATGGCGGACGATGTCCTAACTTGGACTTGAGGGACTCCACGGCTGTCTGTCGCCGCTGTCGTAGGCTCGGAAAGTTATTTCTGCCGCTGCGTGTGAACTTTTACGGAGTCCACCCTACGTGAACCCCGACACTCCCTCGTGTCCCCACATCCGACAGCAACGCGTCTTCCGTTTTTGTTCTCCCTTACGCTTCGCCAGGGGCGCGTGGATTTCGAACGGACGGAGATAAACGCGCGAATTCAGCATGTTCGGCGTTCAACAACACGGCGCTCGTCGCATTGTTGAGCAAGATTGAAGGGTGCGAGGAAGAGTCCGGCCAGTCGACGTCGAGCGGAGGGTCGCACTCGCGTCCTCGCTTTTCCGCGGGGACAATCCTTATTGTGCTCGGAACGCGACGGGGTGTCACTGCGGCGCGTTCTCCGTCCGCGTGCGTTATCGGGAGCGGAAAAGCGGTCGCAACAAGGAAAAATAATAGCCGCGGCTGGCACCGTGTCGCGTATTATACGCACACGACGACGTGGTCGTCGGCTCGGTTCGATCAAGTCGCCGCGGTTGTCATGGCAGCATCGGCGCGAACAAGCTGGTTCAATTGCGATCGATTCGGAATAACGACAGCGTCAGTAATCGCGTGTGTGAACGCTCCTTTGAACTTTCCCACCGAGTGTCCGCGAACGCTGAACAGAGCTCGATTGTCAGTCTCAGTCAAGCAATAAGGAGCAGGTGCTTCGTTGGAGGACGTGCGAGAGCGACAAACGAGTCACGAACGTGTACTGAGAAAAAAATGTTTGATATTTGTAGCTATAATCATATAAAGAAATACAAATCATGTGGTCGAGAAAACTAATTTTTTCATTTAATTCTACTATGCTTGATGCAACTTAATAATAGTTATTTTTGGTCTCAAACCATATTTTTTGGTTGTTTTAATACGAAAATGATGGCAGTGATATATATATATATATATATATATATATATATATATATAAGGTTATTATCACATTTACGTTATAGTAGAATTTGATTAAAAAATTTTTGAAATATATAGTTATAATTATGAAACATTTTTTTCTCAGTGCGAACTTGAGACAATGTCAAATATAAAATTGGACTGTGAACATCAGGCTTATAAGTAAACCTACCCAAAAGTTACACTCCGATTTCTTTCTAATTTGGCACAAATGTAGATGTACAACAAATATTTAGGACATTTTTTCATTTTGGCCCACTTTGAGATTTACGGGCAATTTATAGCTTTTTAATGTTTATAGCTTTTTAATTCTCACTCCTATCATCAACAAGTGCAACAAAAATGCATAAGAAATAAAATTGAATAAAAGATATAGGCGTTTTTTATTTGCTAATTATGAATATGAAGTCAAATGTATAAAATTATTTGTATAAATAATAGAATGTTTAAACAAAACATGTAAAAAGTTGAAAAAATTATTTATACAAATAATTTCTCGGTTTGGCCGAGATTCGAACCATTTTTGATTAATTTAGCACAAATTTAAAATATTTCGGTTGGAATCGGCTAAAGAAATTTAGAATGGTTCGTGTCTCAGCTGTGCCGATTTTGTTAAAATTTTAATTAAAGTTGCCGTATTTCGATTTGGCCGAGATTCGAACCATTTTTTACTAATTTAGCACAAATTTAAAATATTTCGGCTAAAGAAATTGGAATCGGCTAAAGAAATTTAGAATGGTTCGTGTCTCAGCTATGCCGATTTTGTTAAAATTATTCAACTATATCTTGTATTCAATTTTATTTCTTATGCATATTTGTTGTACTTGTTGATGATAAGAGTGAGAACATTAAAAAATTGCCCGTGAAACTCAAAGTGGGCCAAAATGAAAAAAATATGACCTAAATATTTTTTGTACTTATATTAGGACCTTAACTTAGTTTCCGCCCGCAAATGTTAGATGGCAATGCAAACAGTTCTAGTAGTCATTACTAACGAAA